ACCGTTAGGACCAAGGAAGGGATTAGAAGGAGCAACATATATTAAGACTGAAAAGTCCTCATGAGGTAGGTTAGGCTAGTTTTCCCCTAAAAGGCAGCAAAACCATCCTCAAGACTGACCTGGCCCAGCAGACTAAGGCTCAAACCACTGACATAGTTCCCCATTGACATGTCTAAAGGGCACAGGGAACTGAAGATCCTCAGGCTTGATCACACAAGTTAACACAACTCCCCTGACCAGGCATGCCTCCATGGAGAGTTGAAGGCAGCTGTGTCCAACTGACTCAACATCATATTTTTTGCTGAATCATTCCTTCCTTGTACTGTCAAATAAACTTCTTTCGCAAAGTGTTATGTGGTCTATGTATGTCTCATTTCATTCCAATTCTGAGCCTGAATCACTAGAATAGACCAAAACAGTGACCATGGGCAAGCCATAAAATTAATTTGCTTTGAGGAAAAAGCTTAGCAGACCAAAAAGCCCTATATAAACATGAATTATATTTTATTACCACCTAAGCCCACTGGAGAACCAATGACTCAGAATCATGAGATTTTACCTGATCTTTGTGGTAACTATTTCATTCCTCACAGTGTAGCTTTTTGTCTCAGAATTAGATAGCTAAAGAGAGTTTGCTGATCCCTAACCTCTATAGGAAACTCAGGGAGGGATGAGAATTTCAGGAAGTACTAATGATGATGACAATCTTTAACTCACTTAAAGATTCCACAGGAAAAGTCCTATCTTTTCCTTTTTCCCTCTCTCCATTCTCCCCAATCTTATTTGCTCCCCTGGCCTTTAATGCAGGAAACTAAAGATTATGAGCTACAAAACTATGATAGCATAACAAAGAATAGAAATAACACTTGAAAAGACATGAGGTACCTAACCAATGAAGCAGAACTGTGTTCATAAAGAACTCAGATTGGTAAAGATGACAAAAGATGAAAAGATGAAGATGGTTTACACTGAAGGGACTAAGGGGAAAACGGGCATACTGATGAATTGCTGGTATGATGATAAATTGATCCAACCATTCTAGGAAACAATTTGCAATAAGAATAAAGGAGTTAGTAAACCATGCCTACTCTTTGATCTTGTGATAAACATCACTAGACTCCTCAAGGCAAGACAGGAAAGATCCTACATATGTAAAAACATTTATAGTAGCACTTTTTGTTGTAGCAAAGAATGGGAAAGAAAGTGGAAACCCATCAATTATGGGATAGCTGAACAAATTGGGGCACAGGAATATAATGGAATATAATTATGCGGTAAGAAATGATGAGTATGACAATTAAGACATTCCAAGAATCTGCAGGAAATGCTGTAGGGCCAAGGAAGCAGAAACAAGGGGATGATCACAATAATATAAAGGAAAAGAACCCCTGACTTCAGAATTTGATCAATGCAGCATCTAATCATAATTTCAGAGGACTAGAAAATGGAATGTGCCTCCCGGTACAGATGTGGTAGATTCTGGGTAGAACAGGCCTGCGTTTTACCAGCCATGGCCAATGTATTAACTAATTTTGCTTGGCCGTACTTGTTTACAAAGGAAAGCAGGTAATTTAATGGAAAGTGACAATGGAGCAAAAAAAAATCAATTAAATATTTTTAAAAAGAGGGAGAGAGGTGAGGAAAAGTAAATTTTCTGAGGAATAACACAGGAGTCAAGTAAATGGAAACTTTTTAACCTTATTCTTCTCCTTCCAGTTCTACAAGTGGCCAAATCATAAGACTTTGATCTGAAGCAAGAACAAGCAACCATCTCTTATCTTCTGAAAAGAGAAAAAGGGAGACTTACAAAAAGTTAAAGAAATAAGATATCATCTACCTAGTCACAAAAATCAATTCAATGTTAGGCAAGCCTCTGAGAAAAAGTTAAAAAAAAAAAGTAAAAAAAAAAAAAAGGTTTGACTCTTTGGCAGTAAAAAAGAAAATTACTACAGACATCCAGGAAACTTGTTTTCAAGTCTTCTAATGTAACTGGGAATACTTCAAACTTCTAAATAATTCTGGTTTTGGTGGAATAAATACCATCTAGTCACAACTCCCTAGTAATAGGGGCTAGGAAGGCCAGAAGATATTACCTAAGAAAATGCTATATGACTTCAATGTACTAGGTAGTCTGTATTATTAATAAATAGTCAGGCACTTATTTTATACTAGTAATAGAAGCAACAAACCGGAAAAGAACCTGCCTAGGGGTCACAAAGAGGCAGAGTTGGGATAATGACTCAGTTCAACAGAGTGTCTTAACTTTACATGGGGTATTTATACCGGTTAGCCCATTTAAAAAGCCTCCCTTAATCAGTGCTGAAGGCTTCTTGATTAATTACAGGACTGACAGGCAGTCATTTTGACCACTCTTCTACAAAATCCAACTTTATGTTCTGTTCATACTTTTGTTGTTGTTTGGTCTTCTCAGCTGTGCCCAACTCTTTGTGACATCTTTTTGGGGTTTTCTTGGCAAAGCTACTAGAGTGATTTGCCATTTCCTTTTCCAGCTTAGATGAAGAACTGAGGCAAACAGGGTTAAGTGACTTGCCCAGGTCATATAGACAGTGTCTGAGGCCAGATTTGAATTCAAGAAGATAAGTCTTCCTGATTCCAAGCCCAGTGCTCTATCCACTGGGCCACCTAGCTGTCCTCCACTCACACAGGATATCAAAAATACTTTTTTTTATTATGACAGACAAGTTTCCGTAAAACTTGTCCAAATGTCCAGAAGAAATACAAATAAATTATTTCAACATATCTTTTCCTGAAGATTTCAGGGCCTCTATCTGCAATTATATAGATTTTCATGATAACCCTAAAAGGGAAGTCAATGACTCTGCCTCCATTTAACAGATGGAGAAACCATAGCACACAGCAAAAAAAAAAACAATTGGTTCAAGACTATCTATGAGGTCAATGGTGACAGAAATAGGAATAAAATCCAGTTTCAGGTCAGTACTCTTTCCCCTAGACCCTATTGTGCCTCCCCATGTCAAGGTGAGTCAAGTGGACCATTTTAAAATTCCTAAATGAACAAACTCAGTGAAAACAGACTGGTAATGTTACATATATTAATTACAATATACCTCTTCATGCATTTCAGTGAATGGAGGATAATGCTGTGCTGTTCTAATCTCTCTTACTCCTTTAGGAAGAGATTTTCTCTCACCCCACTTCATTCCCACTCCCAATATTCTGTCCCAAGTAAAGGCTTCTTTGGTCATCTAAAGCCTTGCAGGAGGGCTCAGCTAGTAAGCCTTAACTGAGGAAATGGATAAGGAAGTGTGGGGCAAGGAGATCTGAAAAGCAGGCTGTGGCTACCTCAGTGCTGGTGATGACTGTGGCAACACACCTTCAGTTTCAGCTTTACACAGCCTCCACAGCCAACCCACTCACAACAAAGGAATTTCCTTTGGCTTAGTCACTTCACTCTTCGGTGGTGTGGGAATGCTGCACTGACAAAGCTTACTTACTGGCAACTAGGTGGATGGTAAATTTCTTTCTCCTGGTTCCAAAATTCTTCCTGAACAGTGGAGATCTCTTCTAGCACATGAATTGAAAAACACTGACCTGAGGTGGCTTTCCTAGGGACTACACATATCCACACTTAGGGCTATACAGGCAGCTCAGTCTGTACCTCCCAAAATAGAATGACAGAGGGAGGGGCAGAGGGTTAAACTTAACCTACCTGCCCCAGGTGGGATTTCACATGCTGGATTACTGCTTTCCTAATTCAATTAACCAGAGAAAAGTTCAATAAGAGGCAGTTGGAGAAGCTGCACATATATAAATATGATCACATCTCAATTGTTTGTGTTTGTTAAAAGAAGCATATATATAAATGGTATATTATTGGTATTTGGTGTTGCAATATAGCATATGACTTTTCCTACCTGCATTGTAAGCAAGCTCACCTGAGAATTATATTTTTGGTCAATACCATCTCTTGGAATGATGAGCTCCTTAAGTTGATGTGAAGCACTAATTCCTTTTCATCTGTCCCAAATGTTCCTGGCTAAGGGTGTCAGCTGCCTCCTTTTTGTATTTCAGGACCTGATGACCAAATCTGGGTCACCCTGGGCCAGACTATTTATTGCATCCCCTATCACATCTGATCTTCTATGGCTGAAGTCTCAATATTTTTCACACGGCAGTATTCCCAACCATCCAGTCATCTTTGGACTCATTGCTGGCTCCATGATATCTTTCTTGAAGTATGTTAAGCAGAAGTGTACATAGTAATACAGATAGGTATGGGTATACCATTCCTACTTAGGTTAGGCTGATTTTAGACTGATCTTGCAGTCAGTTAACACACACTAAAAATAAAAAGGAACTGGTTGGGTACTTTGCTAAGTGGTATATGGAAACCAGACTAGGATTAAAATTTGCCATTGGTAATCAAGTATTAGTACCCTTCTCTGCATACAGACACACATATATTCTGTTCTGTACAAACATATAGCTGTCCTTTGCAACTCTGTCTTCAGTGAAAATATACTACTTGGCTATTGAGGTTCTCAAGAACCTGGGCATCATTCTACTTATCCAACTTTATTTTGAACTATTCCTCAATATTACATAAGTAAAAGATATTTTTATTAAAAAATACTAATAACAATATTACTTATAATAATAGTAGCTAACATTTTTATAGTACTAGGCATTGCGTTAAGGCAGCACTTTACAATTATTATCTCATTTGATTTGTGAGGTAGAAGTTTTTATTACCCCCATTTAACAGCTGAGGAAACTAAAGCAAACAACTTGCCCAGGATTCCACAGCTATTAAGTATCTGCAGTTGAATCTGAACTCAGGTCTTGCTGACTCTGGGCTCAGAGCTCTATTCACTATGCCACCCAAGGCCACCAGACTCATATGGTTATAAGGAAATAGGGTGACCATGAAGAACACCACCTGTTCAGTAATGTTCCAAGTCCTCTCTGGTACAAGTAAGACAGATTCTGTGTTAAAGACAAAGGAAAGAAATACATACCAAGCTTAGGTACAGGCTGGGTGTCCCAAAACTGGTAACTACGCTTGCTGGCTTCCTCCATTGTTTTGGCAGGTCCTTGGCCTACTGAAAACAGCTCAATGGCTTTCTGTATTTCCTGGATTCTCTCCACTGGTAAAGAGTTCACCTAAGCAAGAAAAAGTTGGGGGAAGAGAAAACACAATGTACTACTGAGTCATGTTAACTCTATTAAGTACAGGGACTTAAAATTTTTGGCAAAAGAGTTCCCAGTGGCAGATGTTGTGGGATGACGGACTAAAGCACTGGTGGTAAGGTAAGGGCTGCAAGATTTTTTTACATTTTACATTTACATTTAAAAAGCCCTTCAAAGTACTTGATTTCAAACCTTATAGTGTGAAGTATAAAGCTTCTACTTTGACCCCAGGAAGGCTTCGGCTTAAATCCCAGCATTCCCCTTAGGGGCCTTGCAAAAAGAAACTGAAAGCAAAGCAGCAGCTCTCTCTAGAAAAGAGACAATGAACAATGTGGCTTCATCACATTTTATAGGGGCTCTTGGAATAGGTGTTTGAGACTCTCTAGCCTAAGCACTATTTCTAGATGAATAAATGAATCAATCAACAAGCATTTATTAAGTGCCCACTGTGTGTCAAGGGTACTGGGCCTGGTCAAGGGTACGAAGACAAAAACCAAACCATCCTTAGTCTATATATGCTATATCTATATAAGCTATATCTATATATCTATATCTATCTAAAATAAACACAAGGTAATTTTGGTGGGAAAGGCACTAGCAGCAGAGGAGAAGTCAGGAGAAGCCTCATGCAGAAGATGGTGCTAGAGCTGAATTTGGAAGGAAACTAGGGATTCTAAAGGATAAGGAAGGAATTTCCAGACCTGGGGATGAAGTCTAGGCAAAAGAAAGGAGATAAAAGATGGAATGTCACAATGAGAACAGCAAGGCCAATTTGGCTAGACTGCAGTGTGTGTGAAGATGAGTAATATATAAAAAGTTAAGAAAGGTGGGTTGAAGCCAGTTTGTGAAGGCCTTTATATACCAAACAGAGTACTTTGTATTTGGTCTCAGAGGTAATAGGGAGGCCCTGTGTTTTATTGAGTTAGAGAGGAACATGGCCAGATCTGTGCTTAGGAATATCACTATGACAACCATATGGAGGAAATACTGGAGAGAGTATATATATTTGAGGGACGGAAACCAATTAGGAGATTACTGCAGCAATCTAAGCAAGAAATGATGAGGGCCTGAACATTGGGTGCTGACCATTCGAGTAGAGAGAAGGGGAAAGATGTGAGAAACATTGTGGAAGTAGAATTAATAAGATATGGCAACTGATTAGGAATGGAGGGCGAGGTAGTACAAGGGGAAAAAGTCCTAGCTTCAGAGGCAGAAGACCTGGGTTAAAAAATTTCCTTCTGTCACTATTTATGTGACCATGGACAAGACACTTAACCTCTTTGTGTCTTTGTTTCCTCATCTGTAAAATGGAGAGAGAGGAGAACTGGATAGCTTTTAAGGTTCCTTGCAGCTCTGAATCTATAATCCTATGACTCTAAGGTTGTGAATCTAGGTACCTGAAGGATGGTGGCACCCTTAACAGAACAAAGGGAAACAGTGAGTCCAGGATGGATGGATGGAGTCAGAGATGGTTTCGTGATATCCAGCTTGAAATGTCTAATAGGGAGCCAATGATACGTGATGAGAGCTCAGGAGAGAGGCCAGGGCTAGCTGAGAGTCATCTTCAGTCCAGCTGTTTTTCAGTCATATCTGACTCTTCGTGACCCTTCTGGGGTTTTCTTGGCAGAAATACTGGAGTGGTTTGCCATTTCCTTCTCTAGTTCATTTTACAGATGAGGAAACTGAGGCAAACAGGGCTAAGTCACTTGTACAAGGTCATACAGCTAGTAAGTGCCTGAGGCCAGATTTGAACTCAGGAAGAAGAGTCCAGCACTCTATCCACTGAGACACCTAGCTGAGAGTCATCTACATAGAGACAGCAGGAACTGATGAGCTCAGTAAGAGAGCTAGTACAGAGCAAAAAGAGGGCATGTGAGGCAGCCCTGGCAGACACCCACAGTTAGGAGGTAGGCTATGGACGATGACTCAGCAAAGGAGACTGAGAAGGAGCAGATAGGTAGAAGCTAAGACACACCTAGAGAATTCAAGAACGAGAATTTAGAACAGGTCATCAGATTTGGCAATTAAGAGAACACTGGGGGCAGGTAGGTGGCGCAGTGGACAGAGCATCAGCCCTGGAGACAGGAGGACCTGAGTTCAAATCCGGCCTCAGACACATAACACTCACTAGCTGTGTGACTTTGGGCAAATCACTTAACCCCAATTGCCTCACCATGAGAACAAGGGCAACTTTGGAGAGAGAAATTTCAATTAAGGGATGAGTTTTTACAACTCCTCTTTTCTGAATAGTTGTCAGGGCCTAAAGTACATTGCTTTGATTACCTTTAATAATGACAAAGCACTGTCCTTTGAAAGTGAAGTTAATTTTGGAAATAGTGAAAAAGATCATTCAGGGGTCAAGATTTATAAATAAACTAGGCAATTACTGTTTGGAGTCCAAAATAAGGTGTACTGTAGTAGTAGGTAGTCAGATTTCCTTAGATGGCTCAAAAACTGACTCTGATATAGATTCCAACAGAACACCACACAAATGCTCTGAGTTTCAGCCTCTCAAGGTAACAGTAAACCACAGCACTCATTTAAATGAGTAACTTCTGACCTATCTGTTTACAAAAACTTTATTGTCCCAGCTTTATTGTCATAGCCAATGCTTCCATCAGTCTTGGGTTTGGAACTCTGGGAAGCAAGGATCACAATTATATAGTAACTATTCAATAGCATCTAGGATAGCATGATAAGCAATAATGCAATGAATAAGTAGTTTGTTTGATGATAGTGAGCAGACCCTGGAGCCTCAGGCTTGGGGATTTCTCTGATTAAAACAGAGAAATCAGTTTCCACCTAAATATTAACAGACACTACAGCACCATGGATTCCTACATAGGGTCTACTTCAGAGAATTTACAGGTACTAATGACAATTTCAAGAGATAGGTTTGGGAAAGTACAGGTATACAACTTTTATATCTTGAAGAGAAGCACAGATAAAGCACTAGACTTGAAATCAGAAGATGTGGGTTCAAATCTTGTCTAGGTTACTTTCTAACTGTGTGATCAGAGGTAAGTCATTTAACTGCTTAGAGCCTCACTTTCTCCCTGTACTACTTACGTCCCAGGGTGGTTGTGAGGGAAGTACTTTTCCAACCTCAAAAAGAGGGCTTTTTTTTTTTTAAAGCAAGTAGTGGAAAGAACCAATATTTCCCTTATAACACTCTTATCTGAGAAAAGCTCTGGGCCTTTGAGAATTAGATCTTTTACCTTCACAGGCTGGTCCTGGGCAGAATCCAATGTTTCATTGCTTTTCTCTTTCTTTTTTTTTTGCTTCTTTTTCTTCTTTTTGGTTCCACTGTCATTTGCTGGACTCAAACCACTGCAAGACAAAGCAAATATTAATGTGAGATTTAAGAAAAAAATAACCAGTTTGGGACCACACCGGCTCAAACAGAAAGCTCTGTTCTGCCAGACCTCTTTGTGCATACTACCAATGGCTCTCTGAAGCTAATGAAAAAATCTGGGTCCCAGACAGGGCATTTAGAGAAGGACATTGGGGAATATAGTTCTTCCTTATTACTCCAAAGGGGAGATGAAATGAACATCTCATTAATCTGGAGGGGGCTTTTCCACTCCTACTCCTAGTTCAGATGGTATGTTATTTTTTTTTTTCTTTAGGTTCCTATACTGGTGGGACTAAGTTTAAACAACAACTAATGACAAAGCCAGAAACTTCTGCCTCACCTGTCACTAACACCCCCTTAGATCACTCAATTAGACAGGATGACAGTCAAGTCACGGCACTCTCTTTAACCAGTAATGCTCTTCTCTGTTTATTCTGGCCTTCCCTTTCTCTTCCCCCACTGATCCATTAGGTTACGAGTTTCCCCAGCTGGACCTAATGCACAAAACAGCAATGGAAAGTGGGGGATGGGGAGGGGAGATTGAGAGAACAGCAGTTCAGCACTGTTGAGACTTGTACGGAGCACAAGTCTACAGCCAGGGCACAATGAAATCAAACATTCATGATGAAAATGGGCATGCAGATGGATGGTATGTGCAAAGCCCTAGATGTGCCAGGGAGGTGGTGACGTGGAAGAACCTGTGGGATATGAGAAATTTACAATCCAACAGAAGAGACAAGACACATTAAATACAAAAGAACAGAAGGAAAATATACCAAGGGCATACTGACACTGGTGGGAGGAACTAACTAGATGGAAAACCACATATGTGGAACAGTAAGGAGACCAGTTTGGCTGGAACATAAAGAATATGGGGGGAATAGTGTATAGTCAGCCTGGAAACCAGACTGAAAAGCACTTTAAAGGTTACACTGGAGAGCTTTTATTTTATTCTGGAGGCAACAGGGAACCAATGAAACTTCTTGAGCAGAGGAGTGACGTGGTCAAACCTGGCTTTTGAATAATTATCAATTTGGAAATACTTCTTAGACTGACTTCCCATGAAGAATTTTAGTCACACTCCTACCTAGCTTTTCTCTAAATTTTTTGATATCTACATTCTCAAATCTAAGGTATCTGCCTATTCACAGTTGGACTGGACACTTCCCCTCAAAGTTCTATTAAGTCCCTTCCTTGTTAGAATCGGATCCAGAATAGAATTTCTCCTTGTTGGTTCCTCCTCCTTTTGAAGGATGAAATTATCATTAAGGTGGTAAGAAATTACTACCTATCCTTGAAAATGCTATCGAAACAAAAAGAGCTGTTAAAATTTTTCAGATTAGCACTATATGTACGTGCAAAAAAAGTGGTACCAACTTAAACGTCTAACAAAGAGTGAAAGTTAAATTAATTGTGAGTAGAGGAATGTAATGGAATATTACAATGCAATTAAAACTCATAAGTGTTAGGAAAAACTTTTATGAAAGACCACAAAGCCAAAAACAAAAAAAAAAACCAACCCCAAAACCCAGAAATAAGAACAGAATACACACTAGCTGCAACTATATAACAGAAAAAGTAAATAAGAATGAACAAAGAATCCTAATATGAGCTTAGAAGGAATAAATAGTGTTGATTACTAAGTTTTAATATATCACACTTTGATATAAACTTTGAAAATTATCAGCTGCTCTGATCCTGGGACAGAGAATTCTCTAGCAGATCTTCTCTGATGTCTCAGTACGCGTAATTTCTTTCCTGAACTTCCATCTATTTCTTCTTTCTGTCTAGGCCGTCTGTAGTACATGCCAATGACAATCCAAACACTCTACCATGCTTACCCATTCTAATACACAGTTTTCATCATATAACAAAATCTTCTTAATAAGAATGCCATCCCATCCCCACCTATCCTGTTTCTTTTGAATGAGGTATATTCAAAGAGAACCATACTCTAGTCATGGGTTTTATCTCACTAAATCTTAGTTATCCTCCAGAAAGTTAAATTTGCCTTCTTGTTTTAGGATCTCTAGTTCATTTTACTTGTTACTCATACAGTGTGTTTGTATATAGGTATCTGAAGACTTGAGTTTTTATTGCTGGCTTCTTTCTTATGTTTTGTCTCTCATGAGCATATGGACCTTTATTTGCTGATGATTCAGAAACAACTTCCAATTATTTTATACATAGACAGAATGTGTGCTAAATCTTGTCACTTTCTCCTTCAAAATGTCTCTTACATTTGATGGTAGTCAACACTCTTAATCATATCAGTGTGACAGCCAGCTTCCTAGCTCATATCCTCAGCTACTTCCTGAATATCTAATTCAACTTCCATATCTCTACAGAATCTTCCTAAAATATTGCTTTTCAAGGTTAGAGATCCACAGTTTCATGTACAATTTCCCCCCTTCTCTGTTCCAATATGCATATGGAAAGGCCTATTTTGTGTTTAAATTCAGAATTCAAATTTTCTTTTATTAATTTTAAATTAATTAATTTATTTTTAGTTTTCAACATTCACTTCCATATGCCTTTTTTTTTTTGGTGAGGGCAACTGGGGTTAAGTGACTTGCCCAGGGTCACACAGCTAGTGAGTGTTATGTGTCTGAAGCTGGATTTGAACTTAGGTCCTCCTGACTCCAGGGCTCGTGCTCTATCCACCTAGCTGCCTCTTCCATAAACTTTTGAGTTTAAAATTTTCTCCCTCTCTCTCCCCCAACCCAAGACAGAGTGTAATCTGATACAGGCTCTACATACACAGTCCTAATTTTTTTTTTTTAAGGCAATTGGGGTTAAGTGACTTGCCCAGGGTCACACAGTTAGTAAATGTCAAATGTTTGGTTTGAGGCCAAATTTGAACTCAGGTCCTCCTGGCTTCAGGGCCAGTGCTCTATCCACTGTAACCTAGCTGCCCCATATATAGTCCTATTAAACATATTAAAATTTTCTTTTAAAAAATATCACTTTTATCACTTAAAATGCCTCCTTATTTCTCTCATCAAGTCCAAATCCTCTGCCTAACTTTCAAGATCCTCAGTAATGTGGTCCCACTCTATACATCCAACCTTATTCTGAATTATTCACTATTATCTCAACTCCACACATTGGTCCCTGTAATCCCTAAAAAGGCTTCTCATGCCTTTGGTCAGGTTATTCTTTCTACACCTTAAACATACACCACTTCTCCTACTTATCCAAACCCTACCTATCCTTTAAGGTCTTCAATAATTTTCACCTCCATAAAACATTATTGGACTTCTCTTCCCACAAAGGCTTCTGAATGTTTAATTTTTTACTCTCAACCTGCTTTCATTATTTATATGGAATAAAAAATCTTTAATCATACTATGAGGTTTTCAAGAATAGAGACCAAATAAAATATTCTATATAGCCCAGAGTATATTGTAAAGTGCTGCACACTCAGCCATCAATGCTTGATCAAAATAAGTACAAGAACTGGGATGAATCTCTATCATTCTAGGATTTAATTTGGGAATTGTTTTATTGATTGAATATCTCTGATATCAGCTTGTTAACTTACCATCTATCCCTCATGTAAAAGGGGAAGGGGGGACTGCAGCAAATCTCCACCCAGTTAGTGATCATAGGATGTACTCACTAAAGATTTAATGTATTAACAAGGTATTAACACACAAATAGCTTCTTTCATAGTATGAACACCTCTTTTATGGAATCAGAAGGAGGATAATGCAGACTACCTATCTGACCTTGGAGGAGACATTTAGTCTTCCTAGATTTTAGTTTTATCATCTATAAAATGAGGAAGTTGAATCAGATACTGAGGTTCCTTTGAGCTCAAGATCTATGATCCTATGAAAATCATTGGGTGAGCAAAATGGGACAGGGCTTTAAATAGCCAAGCCCTAGAGATAGATCTGCAGTTTGAGAATTCAAGGCATTCCAACCCCGTATCTGGCAGTGGAGGAAGAACCAAGCCCCTAAAAGGAAAGTGGGGAAGGGGGGAAAGAAAAGAAAGTAAAAGATTTCTTTCTCCCACCTCTATCACTAGCTCCAAGCTCCATTTGGAAGCAGAGCTACTTGACCAGGAGGAGACATCACACCTAACAGGAAGCTTTGTGAGGACTCCACTAGGAGAGTAAGAGCACCAAAGCCCTGAAGTTTTGTAGTTGTGTGTTGCCCTGGCCACATATGTTCCCTATATATACACCCACTGTACTCTTGACCTGAAGTGTTAGGAAGTACCCAGGTACTTCCATGGGCCCTGCTGTAGTAGCTGCTTTATGGGAATCCTATCCATGAGTGCCACTTTGGGGAATGGACCAGAGGAGGTAATATATTCTGCTCTGGAGAACAGAATATGTAAAAGAAGCTGAGGTATCTGAGCTTTTCACATTTTGAGATTCCACAGTAACAATTTACTAAAGTATCTCTTTAATTAAAACAAGATCAAACACAACAAAACAAACAGAGAGGTAGAATACAGTAGAAAGACTGCTGGATTTGGAGTAAGAAGATTCATGTGTGACTCTAACCCAGAACATTTCTTCCTTTCTCATTGAGTTCAGTTCCTGGATCACAGTCTCCCTCTTTACCTTAACATTTACCCTTACACTAGAGTATATGACATTCCCTCAAATATCCAACTCCTTAGTTCCTCCACCTACTTAATTTCCCTAACCTACTTATTCTGCCTCACCTACCCATTCTTGCTATGCCTTATTTGCCTTAAACCCATTCTTTGTCCTGATGGTGACCTAAAATCCGGCTCTCTCTCAGTACTTTCCCAGGCAACCATGGCCTATCTGGCTACACCGTCCTTTCCGATCTCAACCACTTAACTTTGAACCAGTAAACTGGTTCAAAGAATCAAAGAGCTGGAGAGTTAGAAGGGACCTCAGTGGCCAACTGGCACATAGTTCTTTATATAGTGTCTCCCCCATGGGAATGTGAGCTTCTTATTGGGGATGGACTGTGGTTTTGCCTTTCTCTG